CTTTTCGATACTGCCTTTTCTTTTGACAGATTACAAAATTAGAACATAATATGCGTTTATAACAATGACTAATAGAAAAAAACAAAGATTGCATTCCTATAAATTTATTAATGTAATTCTAAAAGTTAAAGGCAATTATAAAATTTTAAATCCAATTTTAATAATTAAAGCCTAAGAATTAGGACTCCAACCCACAAAACGTCGCCGTTTTTCTAGTAAATAAGCTATATTAGAGTTTTTTTTTTTTTTTTACACTGCTCAATAATTTTCAATCAGCTTCAATTGTTATAGAAAGTTGTGCAATATCAAGTGATATGCGAATTTCCTCATATGTTTTTTTTTTCATTATTAATAGATATAATAATATACCTAAATTGATATACTGTATATATATGCGTTTTCAATTGCTATTATGTTCGTATGTGATTCACCGATGTTGTTTTCTAAATTGTCAATTCGATCTGAAAAACTTAAAATTACATTAAGATCCATTCGTGCTCCTTCTTCGGTATTATCCATAATTTTTTTATAGATTTTCATATTATCCATATCCTGCTCTTGAAATTTTCATTTTTGCTTTATTTATACGGGTTATCATTCAATACATGTTTTTTTTTGTTATTTTCAAATCCATTAATTTGTCTTATGTATTATTACGACAGAATGAATAATATTTTGAATTCGATCGAGTTAAATAATTGGCTTTCATTAATTAATATTAAAATATAATTAAAATTTTTTTTTAAATATAAGCGAATTCGATATAAGAAACTCTTGATATAAAAAAGACCAATTAAAATTCGAATCGATATAAAAAAGGCTTGCAAAATTAAATATAAAAAATTAAAATTTAAAATAATAGTTTCTAAAACATCGCAAAAATCTTTTTGCTAATAATCTTAAAAATAGTTTATAAGCAAAATTTTAAATATTTATTTTATATATAGTCGACTCTCTTCTTCATAACAAACTAGCAGTTTTTTTTATAGTAAAAATTTTTTAAAAGTTTTTTTTTAAAAGTAATTGGCATATTTGTGGAAAATTTATTAATTTACACCATTGTATGAAACAGGTATAATTTATAATACAAATTTGAAAAAAGATAGGTTAGGATTAGAGGGTAGGATTAGAGGTAGTATTTTACATGGTTTTTTTTTGTTAGAACTCGAAGAGTGGTTTTATAAGCAAAATTTTGAATTATTAATGTACCCGTGTTTCATACACTAGAAATTGCCATATTTTTTAAAAAATTTAGTCTATTATAAAAAATTTTTATATTTAAATTTGACTATACTAGTACATTTTTATTAAATCTACTAAATCTATTAAAACTTATTTATATTGGACTTTTTTAATTCTAACTGTCTAACTTAAAAAAATTTAAAAAAATATACCAAAAATTTTAAAATTATAAAAATAAACTAATTTTTAGCTTTAGCTGCTACAATAAATTTATATTATTTTTAAAGTTTAAAATATTTACAGCTTAGTATCTATTTTCAATACAATATACAGTAAGATTTTATATATTTTAAAAATTTAATTGTTTAAATTAATTATTATTTAATAGTACAGTGTCTAAAATTGGGTTGCAGAATCTACAAAATTAAATTCTCGCAACCAAAATATAAATTTCACTTGTTTATGTGCGCAACTAAATTTTTATAAATTTTTATAATCCGCAACTATATAATTTAAAAATTGTAGTATATTGTACTATACCACGTATATATAATATATATATATATATATATCAGATATAGTAATATATACAGTATTGTATGTGTATGTTATACGTATCAGGTACGTATTAAATTTCTACGTACGTACTGTACATACGTACGTACGTAGCATTACGTAGCTACGTATAATGTTAAATTTAGTAAGATTTATTAAGAAAATAAAGTTTACATATACTGAATTTTGATAAAGCCACTTAAATAACTATCAGATGTCAACGCATACTATTAGTCGCAGAAAGATCAATTCGCCGATTACGTACTATGCACAATTAATAAATGTCAAAACAGCTTGCATTTTGAAGGTATTCCTGAACTTAAAATATTTTTAGTATTAAATAAAATTTATTATATACCGTTACTAGATTTACGATTTTAAGGTTTAAAGAAATAAATAAATTTTATATTGTATAAATCGAATTTAAATATTGTTATCGTTATGTATTATAAATTTCAATTGCCTATAAGACAATTATAAAAATATGTCAATATATACATAACCATTAATATATATTCTATAAATAATAAAAGAATTTTAAAAATGATAAATTGTTAAACCTGTTACATTATTGTGTTTTGAGAATGTTACACTTTAAGAATATGTCATAATGAGGCGTGGGAAAGTATGCTATTACATTTTTATTACATTTTTATACGTGAAAAAGTTTGTACCACTTCACACTTCTGCAACCTATAATAAGTGACTTTTTCCTCTTTGATTTGTAATGAAAAATGGGACTCACCCGAGGTTTTAATAGATTCTTATCGCACACATTTCATCCTTTCAAAAATCAATGGGCATTCTCGTATACAAAAAAATTATTAACTACAAAACCTGAAGACCATCATGCTGTGGTTAGTACATTTGATCTTTTCAGTATTGGAATTGGTCCGTCGTCAAGGTTAGTGCTAATGATAATAATTACATATTGTATTAAAGTATACTTTAACGTTAAACTTATGTACTTTTTTAGCCACACTGTTGGTCCAATGCGAGCGGCAAAGATTTTCGTAACCGATTTGAAAAATCGTTGTATTTTTGACAAGGTGAATATTACATTTTTCAATTTTGAAAGTTTCTTATAATTTTGAATTTTCATGATTTGCTCATAGGTAAACAGACTTCGGATTGATCTATATGGGTCGTTGGCTTTAACCGGAGAAGGTCATGGCACACCTAATGCAATTTTAATGGGAATGGAAGGTGAGACTCCCGAAAAAGTTGTCACATCTACTATAAAATCGCGAATATCCAAAATTAATGAAACAGGTAATAATCATGATCGGCGTACATCACTATGATATATAATAATCATGTGACTTACGACGATATCTTTTTATGTAGAAATTCTTACTCTGGATGGAATAAAAGCAATAAAATTCAATGTTAAAAAACATCTCGTTTTTAATTACTACGAATCACTTCCTCAACACCCAAATGGCATGAGATTTATTGCTTTCAATGAACATGGAGATCCTTTAATTACTAGTGAATTCTTTTCAATAGGCGGTGGCTTTGTGGTTGAAGAAAAAACTATCCAACAACATGGCGACAATCTTTTTTATAAAGCTTATGACAAATCTTCTGTTGACTTGCAACGTGTAAGACAAGATGAGGCTGTTGTTGCGCTACCTTTTCGTAATGCTGAAGAATTGTTAGATGTTTGTAAGCGAGAACGCATGACAATTGCTCAAGTTGTTTACCGTAATGAACTACATTGGCGAACTCCTGAGCAAATTAGAAATAAAATAATGGACATTTGGAACACAATGAATGAAAGCATTCGAAATGGATGTATGAGCACTGAAGAATATTTACCGGGTAATCTAAAGGTGCGAAGGAGAGCTTCAGGGTTATACCAGAAACTGATAAGTGGTCCACCACCTCCAAAGGTGACAGATAATTCTCTAATACCAAGTACAACAGGTTACAAAAAAGTCATTCTGAGACGGCCTTGGAAACAACTCATGTTACCTGCTTTGGATTATCTCTCATTATACGCTATTGCGGTTAATGAGGAAAATGCTTCTGGTGGACGGGTGGTTACTGCTCCAACTAATGGCGCAGCCGGTGTAATTCCCGCTGTTCTAAAGTATTTTTTGGAATTTATGTCTGAAAATAATGCACAAGATATCATGGAATTTCTATTTACCAGCGCCGCAATAGGAATGCTTTACAAAAGAGGCGCAAGCATTAGTGCAGCTGAAATGGGTTGCCAAGGAGAAGTTGGTGTCGGTAAGTAATGAAAATCTATAAACCTTAACGTTAATATCAATATGTGTAATAAGGTATTGTCACAGATGATACTGAAATCGGATAATACTGAATCGGATGATGCTGACATTAAAACTTTTTAATGTACGTACGATTTTTAAAATTTTTTGAGGTGCATTTTTTTAGGTTTTTTTTTTTTTTCTTTAGATTTGGACTAGGATTTAGGGTTAGGGTTTATAATAAGAGTGTACAAGTAGATTTTATTAAGGTTTATATTTCTAAATTAAGACCCTCCGATTTCAGCATCATCCGCGACAAGTATTAAACTATTAAATTATTTACATAATCGTGTTTTTATTTCGGATTGTATACAGCATGCAGCATGAGCGCAGCTGGATTCGCCGCAGTAATGGTTAGTAAGAGAAATGTTCATTTTTTACATACAACATTCGTTTACTAATATTAATTTAATTAAAGGGTGCAACACCAGAACAAGTAGAGAACGCAGCAGAAATAGGAATGGAACATAATCTAGGTTTAACGTGTGATCCGATAGATGGTCTTGTGCAAATTCCCTGTATAGAGCGTAATGCTCTTGGTGCTGTCAAAGCCATAACTGCCGCTCAATTAGCATTGAATGGTGATGGATATCATAGAGTTACTTTAGATCAAGTAATTGAGACTATGCGACAGACTGGATTGGATATGCAAAGCAAATATAAGGAAACTAGTCAAGGAGGGTTAGCTGTTAATGTTCCTCTATGTTAACGGATGCTACGTAATATTTACTTTAAAAAAAAAAATAATAATAGATAAAATAAAATAAATTTAATGTAGAATTTCAGTGTTGTATGTTACAGTTAATGACGCCTAGATTTAGTGTAACGTCATCCCTATTGTGTGCATAAAATTTAAGTATAAAAAAAAACTATTTAATCAATAAAACAGATCTTAAGGTTTTCTCTATGTCATCGATAGTAAAACCATCAATTCTTTCCCTTTCTCCGAAGGGGTAATTAAAGGATTAATTTTTTTTTTTTGATTATAAATTATAAAATGATTAAATCTTTTTAATCGATTCTTAACGTTAAGGTTTGCATCACTTCTTCGTTCGCATGGAATTGGTACTTTTCATGCTATATTTGATCCAAAAATTGGTAAAGTAGTTACTTCCAATCCTATCTTACAACCTATTGGAGAGTATGCATTTCCTTTGATTTTTTTTTTTTTTTTTCATTGCTATATTTCGTAATTTGAAAAATAAAATATTAATTTTTTCGATTCGGGTATGCAGTTATTTTGCAGAAGAGAAGACCGACTTCGATGGGCATGAAGGGATTTTTGGTCAGGTAAATGAAATTCACTATTTATGATATTTAAAGTTTTTTCACGGATTAGAAAAAACAATGATTATAAAAAATTATCCATTTTTTTCGAATGCAATGCCATCTTTTGTGATACATCTCGAATATCAATTATGCAAAAAATGTAATTTATGATTTGAGTGAATAAATTCATGTGAATTCTTTAAAATTTGTAGATTGGACCCGTTTCTGGAGTTTTACAGGTAATTCAAAAGCAGCATACATAATGTATATTTTCATTGACATTAATTCACTAAAATTAAAATGATCTCTATTTAATCCATAGGGTGCCTTTATACACAGAACTTGTCGAGGTCAAGGAGCAGGCGGCGTGAGGAATTGGGGTTATAATACTATCGAAGATTGGTTTCGTGATGGAATTAGATTGTCTAAGGGCATGACTCACAAAAATGCCCTTGCAGAATTATGGTATGTATAGTTAAAAGTTACTAAACCGACTCTTTTTTTTCATGGTG